ACAAAAAAAAAAAAAAAAAAAAAGAAAAAAAAGAAAGAAAGAAGGAAAGAAAAAGAGAGAGAGAAATCACAGAGCTGCTAAGCAGAGGCACTAGGTCTCACACAGATCTGTCTAACCTCAGGTGGCAGGAGGGAGAGCAGGTGAAGAGGAGGTTACAGGCAACTGCAACAGGTGAACCCAGCACTGAAGCCTGAGCCTGAGCTATGACCTCTGTGCCCCCTTTTAGTACCAGTCCAGGCCCCAGAGCCCTGCTCACTGCAAGTGCACAGAAAATGTCTGCTGAATGGCTGAAGGAGCACAATCTACACTCAGGTGCTGTCTCCGTCCCTCACCTACTCTTTGCATTTGGATTCCTTTAAGCACCTATGCACAATCGACCCTGGAAGTTCAACCCACTGGCCAATCCCATGCTGATGACCGTGAGAGTGGATGACAGCAAGATATCTAACACCAACTAGAGACCCACCGTGAGCTACGGCAGCTCTGGGCTCTCTGACCCCATTCACTGTGACATAGGGACCTCAGGGAGACAGCTAAGAGTTATCTCCACTTCACACAAAGGCAGACTGATGCACACACAATTAGAGCCTCTCACCAAGTTACTGGTGAACAGAGGAAGTAGGGTTCAAACCCACATTGTGAGCCAGGCATGGTGGGTCACATGGGAGGCTGAAGCAGGAGGATCACCCCAAGTTTGAGGCCAGCCTGGGCTGCATAGTAAGTTCGAGGCCAGCCTGAACTATGCAGCAAGGTCCTGGCTCAAAAAACAAAACAAAACTACAACCCAAAAAAACACTATATTCTGGCTATCTTTTTCCTCTTCTTCTTCATTTTCTCCAGTCAAGACAGAAAAACTGGTCTGGGATTTAGCTCAGTAGTTCCACCACCTACCTTGGAAGCACCAGGTCCCAAATTCAATCCCAGTACCGGGAATAAAAAACAGAGAGAGAGAGACTATATTCTTGACCACTACTTCAGTCTCCCTTTTATCTCCCAATGCATCTATAACAGTAAATATTGGCAGATGGATCAAAATGACTTTTATTGCTTTGTTTTGGTTTGCCTTGAACTCACTATGTGGCCCAGGCTGGCTTGGAACTCCCAGATCCTCCTGTCTAAATCTGTCACGCACTGGGATTATAGGCATGTACCACCATGCCTGGCCGAGATGACATTCCTATTTAGTTCCTGCAGGCCTAAACATTGCTTAACTGTGTCATGAAGATCAACAAATACAGTGGAGAATGCCTATAATCCTAGCACCTGGGAGGTTGAAGCAGGAGGACAGCAAATTCAAGACCAGCCTGGGCTACACAGTTAAACCCTGTCTCAAAAAAAGAAAAAAAGAAAAGAAAAAACAGAAGGCCGGGTGTGGTGGCGCACGCCTGTAATCCCAGCACTCAGGAGGCTGAGGCAGGAGGATCGCTGTGATTTTAAGACCAGCCTGGGCTACATAGTGAGTTCCAGGTCAGTCTCAACTACAGAGTGAGACCCTGTCTCAAAAAACCAAAAAGAAAAGAAAGGAATCCCGAGTGCTGGGATGGGATTACAGGCATGCACCATCACGCCTGGTTCTTCTCATTTGTGTGTGTGTATCTGGTGTGTGTGTGCGTGTGTGTCATACATGGAGTTACACTCAGGGCCTTCGAAACTGAGCTGTACCACCAGGCTTGTTTTGTGACCAGGCCTCACTAAGTCACTAAGTTGCCCCAGCTGGGCTTGACCTTATGCCTTCCTGGCTCTGCCTCCCAGAGTGCTGGGGTTACAAGTGTGTGCCACCACACCCAGACAACCCTCCTCATACCTGCTTTCTATTTAGCAGCTAAAGGACAGGAGGGAAACCAGGTGGACAGGGAAGAATCCACTTCTGTTTCCAACGAAAGGAACAAGTGGGGAGGAGCATCGGTGACAGCTCCTAGAGTCTGCTTGTGCCATCATCATCACACTGGGCAACACAGGCTGACTGGACTAGAAGGGGACAGCAACTCTTGGAAAGCAGTGATTTTGGGGACAGGTGAGCCACTGCCACCCTCGTCTCAGACCATGCAAACACCTGTCACTGCTGTCTCTGCTGACCTGCCCAGGCCCACAGAGCACAATTTCCATCCAGGAAGCTTGGTTTCCATTACCATCTGAAACTGCCTTTCTGCTCCCAATGTCGTTTCATGCTTGCAGCCTGACTTTATCTTCTTTCTGTACATATGTTAGGAGGTTCCAATATGAGTAACACAAAGAGAATTTAAATTAAAGGAGGAAAAACTGCCTTCTAATTTTCACACCAAATCAGGGACTGCTTTTGCTGAGTATAGGCCAGTAAACTCATGTCTCAAGCTTTACGCACTTTACTAGTAAGCAAGATAAGACCTCAAAATTCTGCCAAAGACTTCACAGTAATAGATTTTTTTTTAATGAAAACTGTCTTTCATTGAATATATGTCCATGTGTATTCCTAATTATCAGGCTAGCACCACAATTAAGAAGGATATATGTATTACAGAATAAAGAAAAATACCAATCTTTTTAAATAACACAAATGTATCTTCAAAAATTTATACTCAAATTTTGGTTTGCCATAATGCATAATAATATTAGTTATAATGATAATATTATAACTGATAAATTAATTTTAATAAAGCCAAGAAATCCTGCAGAAGTTAGGTACACTTTAGACAACTAAATTACACCACTGACACAACTTTATTTTCTTCCATTACATTTCAGTCTGAAATAAATGGCTAACAATTAAAAAGAAGTATTATTCATATTCAGTATTTGATGTTTAAAATAAAACCTGTACTTCTCAAACAAAAACACTGCATCTTAGAGTTCGCATGCTGTCACACATTTGTAATAAAAACATCATAGAGCCAGGCACAGTGGTGCACACCTGGAATCCCAGCACTTGGGAGGCTGATGAGGCAGGAGGATCACTATGAGTTCGAGACCAGCCTGGACTACATGGTAAGTTCCAGGTCAGTCTCAACTATATAGTGAGACCCTGTCTCAAAAAAAAAAAAAAAATCACAGAATAACCCATTTGAAGTAATTTGGGCTTAAAATAATTGGCTAAAGGGTTAATTTTAAATATACTTTGTTTATTAGCGTATGTTCAGGATACATAACGAACATACTCACCATGGGGTACTGATCCATATACATGTCGCATCTCAGTCCTTTTTACTTTCCTTCCTCTCCCCTCCCTTCCATCTCCACGAGTTCTATCTCCCTGTTTTTCTATCATCTGTTATTTTGTTATTTAAATAACTGATATCTTGGGTTCTCATAGCACAACAGTAGATCCTCAAACTCCAACTGAGTGTCTATTACATGCCAGCAAGTTAAATGTTACTTCATTTGATCTTTACAGTAACTCTATGGAAATACACTGCCCTCTTTTTCTATATTCACAAAGCTTTTGTGTGTGTGTGTGTGTGTGTGTGAGACACAGTGACAAAACCATATTTGAAGCCCAAGTCAAAATGGAAGCAAGATACATCAAGTTCAGGTACAAATTCCCTATGATGAATGTTATCACTATATATCTAAAATGTACCAATAAAAAAAAAGTTGAAAAAAATTCATGTTAAACATAATATCTTTTATATTTTTCCACATCCTGCATTCTCTTATTTTATATATATATGTAAATGGAAACAAAGCTTTTATAAATAAGGCGGGGAAAAGGGGTTGGAGGAGATGAGTTAGAGGGGAGAGGTTGGAGGGGAGGGGGTTGGGGAAAAAAGAATCCAGATATATCGTGCACAGGTGAAAATTCGCTATGATGAATGTGATCATTATGTGTATCTATAATGTACCAATAGAATTAATTTTTTTAAAAAGTGGCTGCCTCCATAAAGCCCCAAAAAGCTAAAAAATTAACTGAGGTAAACCAGAGATACCAGCAGTACAGTACATTTTGTTTTGAATATTTAACAATTCCCTAAAATCTAAAGCAGTACAGCTCCATATTTGACTTACCCCATAACATTCATCGTGGTCATACAGGTGAACATAATGTAGTGTGAGCATTAGGTTTTATTATCCTCAACAGGACAAAAAGCATAAATGATAGAAATGCCCTCTACACAGCCCTACTTTGCCAAAGGGAAACACATGTACTCACCTTTGAGCAGTGCAACTGAGAGCTGATCAGTGTTCAGGTTATTGACATATTTCCCTAAATAGGTATTGAGAACCCAGGCGACAAGACCTTCCAACATGACTATTTCCTCAGGAAAAGGTACTTAAAAATCATGGATCATTCTTTATATCTCTCTCTCATGGTCACAGAAGAATCTGTAAAAGAAAAAAAAATGAAAATCAACAACAACCAAAAAAAAAAGACGATTTTCTAAGGTGATTTCCTACCCGAAGTTGCCGGAAGGTGGATGAATATACAGGACAGGCTTAACAGAGCAGGAGTAAGCAGCACTGTTAAAATACCTCATCCACCAGGGCACAGTAGCTCCTACCTATGATCCCAGCACTTGGGAGGCTGAGGCAGGAAGACCACTGTGAGTTGAAGGTCAGCCTGGGCTAAACAGTGAGTTCAAGGCCAGCGTGGACTGTATAGCAAAACTCTGTCTCCAAAAGATTAATTAATGAGTTCATTAAGGATGCCTGATTGGGAAATGGAGGGCCAAACCGTTTTGATGCAGCTGCAAAGAGTATCATTTATAAATTTTCTAAAAATCTGCAATTTGAAGTTGTGTAGCTTTTCACCATAATTGTGCCCTGCATGGCTTGCTTTTAGCCCTCACCTTGGGATTAGACTTGCCCTGATTAGAAGTCCTGTATGAGTGGGATCCACCAAACCTCTGAAGACATTTTTGATCATCATGACAGCAAATACCAGAATCTGCGACCATGAAAGGTGCTAAACATCCCACAGTACACAAGACAACTCCCCACAGCAAATAATTATCCAGCCCAAATGGGAACAGGGCCAATGCTGAGAAACCCTCACCCAGATTAAGGCCAAAATGCCCCAAGTGAGTGTATGAATGAATTCACATTCTCCGATGGGCCTCATTAAGGCTGCTCTGATTAAATTTTGTAAATTTATTCATGAGGATCATTCATAAAATAACATAAATGGGAAGCAGAAGGGAGTGCTTTAAATGTCCTGGAGCTGCAATGCTGGTACCTGGTCACCAGACCATGCTGATACAATGATCTTAGCCAAGAAAAACAAACACCAGAAATTCACTGATTAGAGCCATTTCGATTCAGTACCAAATCACTATTTGTTAAATGGTGTTCAGTATTATAAAAATAATATGCACAGATGACTCTCAGTATTACAAAAAGTTAACATAAGAGAAACTGAGACACAAAAGTTTAAATGTGTTCTCAGGTTGCTCAGGTAGCAAATTCCAATTAGAACTGTGAGCCATAAACCTTGCTCTGTGCCACCTGCGTCAGCCATCAGCCTCTGTGCCAGACACTCCAGTTCCCAGTGGCACCTATCCTACTTGGAACCATCCTACTTTCAGGATCCTTTCCAAGCACTGTGCCTCACCTCTAATGGTTCATCTTCGTACCAGGAGATGCACTCCTCCTACAGGAACATCTGTCTCCCGAGGAAGACCAGACACAGGCCCCATCAAAATGAATTCACTGTCCAGTAAAGACTGACTTTAGTTTATACTACAAAGTGAGACCCTGTCTCAAAAAGAAACACAAAACAACAAAGACTGACTTTTGTCAGTAGTATCTTACATTTTCAGATAAGGTTAATTTTTAATTGTTAACAAAACAGTTTTTTAAAAAGGCATTTGGTAAGGTAATTGCTTACTTTCTTTCCAAAGACATTGTTTAAGACTATACTCATAAAACTAGGATTCTCCGAGGGACTACTGGGTATTTGTTTAAAGAAGTTAAAGCTGGGTGCAGTGGCGCACACCTGTGATTCTAGCGCAGGCTGACGCAGGAGGCTCATCATGAGTTCTAGGCCAGCCTGGGCTACATTGTAGGCTTAAGACCAGCCTGAACTGCCAGGGATTTAGCTCAGTGGTTCTGGTGCCTACCTCACAAGCGCAAGGACCCAAGTTCGATCTCCAGTACATAAAAAAAAAAAAAAAAAAAAACAGCCTGAACTACATAGCAAGACCCTGTCTCAAAAAAACAAAAGAAATTTTTAAATTTAAAAAAAAAGAAAAAAGAGCTTAAAATTTTTGAGACAGAGTCTTGCTATGTAGCCCAGGCTTGCCTGGAACTCATGATCCCTCTGCCTCAGCCTCCAGAGTGCTACAAGGGTGCACCACAACTGGCTTACCAGTTTTTTTTTTAAATAAAAAATGCTTAGGCCAGGGACTTAGCTCAGTGGCACAGTACCTGCCTTGTAAGTGCAAGACTCTGAGTTCAACCTTTGGTACTAGAAAAAAAAAATGCTTAAACCAGGCAGGGTGGCATACAACTGTAATCCTAGGCACTCAGGAGGCTGAGGCAGGAGGATTACCTTAAGTTTGAGTCCAGCCTAGGTTAAATTACCTTGAGTTTGAGTCCAGCCTAGGTTAAATAGAGTTCAAAGCCAGCACAAACTACATAGCCAGACCCCATCTCAAAAATAAGTTAATAAAATTTAAAATGTTCAACAGTCTGAGTAAAAGAAACATTTCTCTGTTGAAGTTTTAAATAGGTAAACCTCTAAAAACAAAATGTGGGGCCGGGGATTTAGCTCAGTGGTTCCACTGCCTGCCTCACAAGCACAAGGTCCCAAGTTTTATCTCGGGTAACCCCCCAAAAAAAATGTGAAACTGACTAACAGTCTTACTATGTGAGCTCCAAATACACAAGAAGCCTAAGTCAGAAGACTTTTGGGGGCGGGGGAATTGAACCCAGCGCCTGGTGCACGTTAGGCAAACACTGTACCACTGGCCTACAACCCCAGTCCTTTTTTATTTTTTATTCTGAAGCAGAATCTTGCTAAAATATGCGGGCTAGCCTCAAACTTGCAATCCTCTTGCCTCAACCACCCAAGCTGCTAGGATTGCAGGGGTGCAACAACAAGCCTGTCTGGAGTACTCTATTTTTGTTGTTACTGCCATTAATTTCGTCCATAAACGCCAACACTGAGTGCCAACTACAAACAAAAGCTTCCTCAGTAAAAGCAAACCACTATCATTTTGTAAGCAAGGTCAAGCCCTACCCTGCTTACCCTGAAGGTGGAAGAAAATACAACACAGATTAAGAGGACAAGGATGAGTGATGCTCTAAGACGCCCCGCTGAGCAAACTGAGGCGGAAGCCGAAAGCTGAGCGCTGTGGTTCAGCTCGAGGCCACTTCAAGGATTCCCTTAAGAAATCCAGTTTCGGGCAGGGCCGCCAGACTGGCTGGAATCCTGGAGCGTTGATACTCCAGTCCACCGGGGCTTCTAGACAGCTGCCTGGCACTGCCGCCACCTGGCTTCCGCCACTCAGGGGGCAGGTGACACTGGGAAACGGGCTCTGCCCACTGGCGGGCAGACAGCCGGGGACGACCTTGAGCCAGGCCCCTCCCCTGAGAGGCAGCCGGACCCGGGGATGGAAAGGACTTGCAACTGGACCGGAGCGTCCCGGAGCGTCGCGTC